AGCATTAACATCATCACAATCATACATACAAACGGTCAATAGAACGTTAAGTCGTGCTCATAATGCGACTTCTACCATTCAAATGGCAAGTTCATCGCCCGACGTGATATCTTCTACAGAAGTGTTAGCATCAATACCATCACAATCACACATGAAAACAGTTAGTGGAACGTTAAGTCCTGCTCATATTGTGACTTCTACCATTCAAATGCCAATTTCAATGCCCGACGTGATATCTTCCACAGAAGTACTAGCATCAACATCACTGTCACACAATGAAACAGCCAGTAGAACCATAAGTCGTACTCATGTTCCAGCTTCGAGTTCTCCTATATTGATGGCATCTTCGCAAGAATATTCAAGGATGAGCATAATATCGTCTTTGGATTTGTCATCATCAACAACATTATCACCATTACTCGTTGGAACCGTAAATAGAAGTTCCAATTGGATTCAACAGACAAGTTCTCCTATTTTGACAGTAATTACTTCGAACGACAGTTCGGTGTTGAACATTAAATCTTCTGTAGAATTGTTTTCTTTAAAAACATCATCGCAATCATACACGGAGACCGCTAGTGCAAACCTAAGTCAGGTCCCTATTCAACAGTCATCTTCTCCAATAATGTCAGTTAGTTCAAGGAATCGTTCACTGGTCAACATACAATCTTCAACGAAATTGCTCTTATCAACAACAGTTTCAGAAAAACCAGCAAGTTGCAGAACGAATGGCCTTTCTACTCAGTCAGGGCTAGCATTAACATCATCACAATCATACATACAAACAGTCAGTGGAACGTTAAGTCCTGCTCATATTGCGACTTCAACCATTCAAATGTCAAGTTCAATGCCCAACGTGATATCTTCAATCGAAGTGTTCGCAACAACAGCACAATCACACAATGAAACTTTCAGTAAAACTCTAAGTCGTATTCATGTCCCAACTTCCAGTTCTCCTATATTGATGGTATCTTCGGAAGGATATTCAAAGATGAGCATAATATCGTCTACGAATTTGTCATCATCAACAACATTATCACCACTACTCCTAGGAACCGTTAGTGCAAGTTCGAGTCGGATTCAACAGTCAAGCTCACCTATGTTGACAGTTACTTCAAACAACAGTTCATTGTTGAACATTAAATCTTCTATAGAGCTGTTTTCATCAACATCATCACAATTGTACACGGAAACAGCAAGTACAAACGTAAGTTATGTCTCTTCTATTCAACATTCATCTTCCCCAATAATGTCAGTGATTTCAAGGAATAGGTCACTGGTCAACATACAATCTTCAGCCAAATCTTCACCCACGCTCTTAACAACAGTTTTAGAAAGAACAGCTAGTAGCAGAACGAATCGACTTTCTACTCAGTCGTGGCTAGCATTAACATCATCACAATCATACATAGAAACGGTCAATAGAACGTTAAGTCGTGCTCATAATGCGACTTCTACCATTCAAATGGCAAGTTCATCGCCCGACGTGATATCTTCTACAGAAGTGTTAGCATCAATATCATCACAATCACGCATGAAAACAGTTAGTGGAACGTTAAGTCCTGCTCATATTGTGACTTCTACCATTCAAATGCCAAGTTCAATGCCCGACGTGATATCTTCCACAGCATCAACATCACTGTCACACAATAAAACAGCCAGTAGAACCCTAAGTCGTACTCATGTTCCAGCTTCGAGTTCTCCTATATTGATGGCATCTTCGCAAGAATATTCAAGGATGAGCATAATATCGTCTTTAGATTTGTCATCATCAACAACATTATCACCATTACTCGTTGGAACCGTAAATAGAAGTTCCAGTTGGATTCAACAGACAAGTTCTCCTATGTTGACAGTAATTACTTCGAACGACAGTTCGGTGTTGAACATTAAATCTTCTATAGAATTGTTTTCCTTAAAAACATCATCGCAATCATACACGGAGACCGCTAGTGCAAACCTAAGTCAAGTCCCTATTCAACAGTCATCTTCACCAATAATGTCAGTTAGTTCAAAGAATCGTTCACTGGACAATATACAATCTTTAACGAAATTTCTTTCATCAACAACAGTTTCAGAATCGTATAGAGAAACTGAAAGTAGCGGATGGAATCGACTTTCTACTCCATCATTAAATACTCCTACACTGACAATTTCTTTAAATGAGAGTCATAATTCCAGTATATCTTCTGCAAAACTGCTACCTTCAACAGCAGCAGTGAAATCATACATGAACACAGTGAGTAGGGCGTTAAATCTGTCTTCAACTTATCCCATTCAAGCGATAAGTTCACTGTCCGATGCGATATCTTCTACAGAATTGTTGGCGTCAACATCACAATCATACATGAAAAATATCAGTAAAACCTTAAGTCGTGCTCATACTCCAACGTCGCCTATTCAAACAGCAAGTTCGGTTCCCGACATGACATCTTCTACCGAAATGACAGCATCAGAAACACCGCAATCATACGTGGAAACCGTCAGCAGAACCTTAAATCATACTCATACTGCACGTTTTCCCATTGGAACGGCAAGTTTAGTGTCAAACGTAATATCTTCCACAGAATTGTTACTATCAACAACATCATCACAATCATACACGGAAACCGCGAGTGCAAACCTAAGTCATGCATCTTCTATTCAACAGCCAACTAATTCTCCAATAATGTCCATTACTTCAAGGGATAGTTCACTGCTCAACATGCAATCTTCAACGAAATTCTTCTCATCAACAACAATTTCAGAATCAAATAGGGAAACAATAAGTAGTAGATTGAATCGACTTTCTACCACATCATTAAATATTCCGATACTAACAATTTCTTTAAATGAGAGTCATAGTTCCAGACTGAGTGTATCTTCTACAAAAGCGTTACCTTCAGCAACAACACTAAAATCAAAGATGGACACAGCGAGTATAGCCTTAAGTCAGCCTTTATCTTCTCCCATGGAAACGGAAAGCTCAGTGCCCGATGTGATATCTTCTACAGAGATGTTAGCGTCAACAACATCACAATCATACATGGAAATTGTCAGCAGAACCTTAAGTCATACTGCACCTTCTCCCATCCAAACGGCACGTTCAGTGTCCGACGTGATATCCTCCACAGAAGTGCTAGCATCAACATTACAATCATACGTAGAAACAGTCAATAGAACCTTAAGTCGTACTCAAACTGCAACTTCTAGTTCTCGTATATTGGGCATAATATCATCTACAGATTTGTCATCACCAAGAATATCACAACTGTACCTGAGCACAGTTGGTACAAGTTCAAGTCGGTTTCAACAGTCAAGGTCTCCTATGTTTACGGTTACTTTAAAGGATAGTTTAGGGTCCAGTATAATATTTTCTACCGACAAGATGAAAAGAAGCTCAAGTTATACCCAGACTCTACTTTCTTCTTCACCTATATTGACAGTTACATCGAAGAAAAGTTCAGAATTCAATTCACGAACTGCAGAATTGTTGACATCAATTACGGTATCACACGTTACGACTGGTCAACCGGTTAGTACGATTGAAAGTAGAACTGAAACGTCGCGGCCCAGTTCTACAATATCTAAAATAACTTCTGCAGGACCTCTTGTGTCTAATACGGTATCGTCTGCCGAATCAATAATCCCCTTCACTATATCACACACTGTAATCGGTAGTTCACGTTCGACTGAACTTTCAATTTCACAGTTAAGTTCCAAACCAAAGATTATAACCAGGGCAACTAAATTATCCAAGGTACCATCTTCTTCCCACACAGTCGTTCACACTGCTTCATCAGCAATTGGTTCTAAAATTTCAACGTTAAACAGTGACACACCATTGACCTCTGCAGTTCCATATGTTACACCGTCCTCCAGCAGCATTAGAACTCCAGTTGATGAAAAATTCACAATTCAAGTTACATTGTTGATCCTTCCCAATGTTGTGCTCAATAACACATTCATACAAAAGTTGACTAGAAACTTAGAAAGACTCTATGACCTTGGGTTAACAAAGGCTACGTCATCTCGAAAGCGTCGGGCTATCAATGAAAAGATGTTTCCTCTCAATTATTATGGTCGTAATCTTCTCCAACTGATAAACAAAGATTTTAATACTCCAAAACAGATTGCAAATGGCAGATTTAGAAGACAAACAGCAAACGAAACAAGAGTAAAGGTAAGAGTTTCCATCTTCTGAGCATAATGTTTACGTGACTATTTATTTAAAGAGTATAAAAATCCGTATGGTATAATATTCTAGTATTTCGCCTGCTTGACATTTACACCACCCCGCTCGACTCTTTCCGCGCTAGGATAAACCGAGATATAAAATGCACACGCATATGTTATTTTTGGTGGGATGGGGAGGGGAGGGGAGGGGGGGGGGTGTAGATACTTAGGCGGAAAAGTTTTAGTGATTTAGAATGTGAAAAAGTTCCAAAAACGTTTTAGCGAAGTTCTTGTGGAGACAATATGGAGCTTAAGCAAGCGACGTTTTTGACAGAACGGACGCCAACAGGAAGTCAATCGAGCCGTTATAGATGGCGAATGATGGCAGCAGCCGAAAGCAGCTGTAATTGCTTGATATTACGAAATCAATGTAACACTAAATTGACTGCAGTTTATTATTTCATTCAAGAACTGCTACTTCCGGTTGACGTACGTGTTGTTGCTATCTTAATTATAAGCTCTCTATTGACTAGAGTAATACGTACACGAATAAATTAATTATTAGAAATATAGATTAGAAATCGTACTTGCACATGCACCGGGCAAGCTGAAAAAATGCTTGATCGCGGCAGGAATCGAACACGTGTTGCTCAGTTTGCTGGTTCAATTCTCCACAAACTGAGTTACGAGGTCAAGTACGTCTGTTGGAGGTCGAGCGTTGCACCTAGCAACCAACGGTCACGTGTTCGATTCCCAGCACAGTCAACGTTCTAAAGCCAGTGGAGCATCGTCAACCTAGAAATTATTCGCCTGATTTCCAATACAAAAATCATTAGATTTAAATAAATCTTTGGTTAAAAGCAATTTTTTCCATGTTTCATTTAGATTGTTAATGTAACCCGTGCAACAGCAGGAACTGACAATGTTCACGTGACGTTTTATGTAACTAGGGGTAATTTACTAGTACCGGCGAAACAGGCTGCAAAGGTAATGAATGCACCGTCTCCAACTGAAAAAATCTCAACGTTGGGATATGCGGTAAGTAGTCCATGTCAATTGTCCAAGCTACTGCGGGTTTGAATGCTCAGCCGTGCAGTGGTAGGTGATTTACTAATTTGACAAATCGTATATGCAGGGCATTTTTCAACTATATAACTACTGCGGGGTTGGTTGCTCCAGTATAGCGAAGCAAGATTTTCAGAAAGGCTGGATCCTTTTCATCATTAATAGAAATGGTCATCCTCGTTGGGAAAGCTGTATCTCACTGCTTTCTCATATTCTTTCGCTTTAATTCGCGGCATTCCATCTTATAAAATCACTACAGAATGGTCTTATTGCATACTTGACTGCAAGGGGAAAGACCTGTATTAATTAAGACTTTGCCCTCGTAGTTGTAATTTCGTGAAAAGATGTCCTGCAGATTCGAGATCGACAAAGTAGGTTGTTTTATATATTTTACTGACCATAACCAAGAACGCCCAAGTCCATCATGATTTGTTTCATGCGTATATAATGATTAGCCTGCTCGCAGACGATATTAGTCGTTATTTTTCGCGCGTTAGGTTTGAAAAGTTCCTACTGATCGCGAGTTGCAAATGTTATTTGAAAATAATGTTGTGACAATTCGAGTATTGCAACCACGTACTTGACCACAACACATGAAAAGGAAATTGTTTTATCAAGTTCAAATTTCCAGGGAATACGTGTACCAAAATCTCCCAAACTTTAGCAACCAACACGGCATCTTAAAGCGAAACTTGCGAATAAAAGATTGAGACAAGTTTCCTTTCCGATATTATGTCTATTCAAAGGACGAAACGTTAGTTCATGAATACATCTTTTAAGATACCCAATTACAAGTTGCATTAATTGATGTAGTCACATCATTACAGTTGCTATACTCGATGTGAACAAGTACTGTGAACTGAGTTCTCCTTCACAACATTTTAATAATAATTTTGATAATAGATTTGATGGGTTAATAGGTTCAGATTTGAGATAGAATAAATGCATTTGATTGGTTAATGGTTACAGTAGTGGAAGCAGTGGCGCAAGGGAACCTTCTGACGCCCCCAATTTTTAAGTGTGGCCGGGGGGGAGGGAGAAACATTATTTTCGACCATATTCCTTAAAAATGCAGCAAGGTGTTAAAAAATTGAACTAAAATTTGAAAACTATGACTAGTCACAAAATTTTTCCCTACCATATCTACCAAAAAAAGGGGGTCCAAATTTCACAATTTCACTAATTCCCGCTTTTGGGGGCCACTCGTTGCAAATTTTCTTTTGGGGGCCCTCGCGTCTGGACAACCAAACACCCTCCAGTTACGCCACTGAGTGGAAGTCAGAATCTGAACCTCATGACATCTTTATTGTTCGTTGTATTTGTTGCAGGTTTCTGGAAAATTTTCTGCAGCTATTTCACAAGAAACAACAGATAAAAAGAGTAATGAGACGTTGCTGATCGTTCTTGCCGTGTGTATTCCTGTTGTGTTTGTTTTTGGCGCTTGCATCTTCATCAAATGTAAAAAGAAAAACAGAAGGTCTCGAAAGCTGAAGGTAAGCCGGCTTCGTTTGATAACACAAACTTCTGGCTTGACATATCATTTTTCATATCATGCTTAACCTCATTCATTGCTAAATGTCCACCTCTTCTATACCCTGGATCAGGGGGTTTCCTGTTTCGGTGAATCTGTAACCTGCACTCAGGCGCAGAGTGGCCTACTCGTCGCCCAACCTCGTCCCCAGGGTCTTCCTCGTGGTGGCGCGCGAGCTGAGGAAGACCCTGGTAAAATACGATGAAATCTCCAAGATTCTTGGAGATTTATCGCATGCGCAGTAACGACAACGTTATGTTGCTGACTACAATTA